CGGTTATGTCGGAAGATGCCAGTGAACAACGGCACCCAGGAGCTGGAGAGCGCATATCCGCACGAGTTGCCCAGCGCGAAGGTGAAGAGTAAATGGCGCGGGTGTTGTCGAGAGAGAGGCGAGCGGCTCAGAGTTCATTGTCAGTGTTGAGAGAATAATAGAAGAGTGGATGAGCGGGCGTTTAGTGAAAGGTATAACTATATCATATCATGGGTTTTGTGACGCGGCATGGTGTATAATCTTGTGTTTTTTCTGGGTCTTCTTCTGTCCAGACGCAAGTCGGGGGTGGTCCAGTCCTTGGGTGAAGGAATGGGTACTCGGAAACGGCCAATCCTGCTGGGCCTACGAAGGCGTTCTGGACACTGGTTATAAAGGAGGCCGAGTTGAATGACAGCCTAGCAAGAGTGTGGTTCGATTCATCCTTCATAGGCACAACAACGTAGGTAGTGACATTGGTTGACAAGAGCTGTCCGGTGAAAAAAAGAAGAAAGAAAGAAAGAAGAAGAGAAGAGAAGAGGAGAAGAAGAACAAGCAAAAAGAGAGAAAAGAGAGAAAAAAAAAAAAAAAGAAAGAAAGAAGAAAGAAGGGGGAAAAGAAGCAAAAAAGAGAAGAACCTAATGGAAGAAAGCGGGGAATCGAGACGAAAGAAATGAAGAAAGCAAAATAAAATGGGAATAACCTAAGGAAAAAATAAGAATAGGAAACTATTAAGCTACATGCCGTACATGCTTTTCCGCACCGACAAAGAGATTACGGGCATGTTATGGACCAGTCTAACCCGTCTCTCGCAATATAGAAGATTAAGATTGGAACCCCAGGGACGGTCAGGACCACTAATCTCATAGGTACCTATGCGGCATACCATGAACCATCCCAAAAGAATCGTGGCCCAGAAGAATAAGTTTGGAGGATATTGGCTGAAAACCCGCGAGTTGTTTCTCGATTTTAACTAACTAGTTACTATCTCAAGCATTTTCCAACCGATGTAACAAAGATCTATCGAAATTACCAGCTACAAGGGTCTTCAAAGAGATCGCAACACAAGAACTTTTTATCGAAGTAACACCTCACCGGTTGGGTTTAGCCTCAGCAAAACGCTCGAGCGTCTGTTTTTGCAGTGCCCTCTGCTCGTTGATGATGTCCCACAGCTCTTCATTCTGCTTCTTCAGGTCTTCGTCGCCAGTCGCCTCAGCGACGGGCTGGCTGAACGCCGCTATTGCGCTCTCTATAGCCTCCTGCGGAAAGCCGGCGGCATTGAGTAGTGAATCGAATCTAGTTTCCGCCCCCGAATATGAGTCGAATTGGGCGGCGAACGTATACGCGCGCTCGGCTTGTGATGGCTTGATGATGTTCACCGTCTTAGTAGGCTTGTCCGTTGGGAATGGCGAAACAAAGTCAATATTGGTAACGGCTGCGTTGAGGTTGACCAGTTCGACGGGTGACTTATTTTCTGCAATATCCCATCGCATTATCTGGCCCCTGGGGTGCCCGGTGAGCAGCATGGTGCCGTCGTAACTCAGGCTCAGGCAAGAAGCCGGCCCCACGTCAGGCAGCGTCGCACCGAAGGGCGAAGAAACCTGCACGACCGTCGTGGCCTCTTCGGCGCCTGGCCCCAACAGGGGCTTCTCAGCAAACACCTCGGTCAAGTAGAGCGACCCGTCCTCGCAGGACACACAGATGGCTCTAGAAGACGGATCGAGGGACAGACACAAGGGGAAGCTGGGGAAGAGGAGTGTCCGTAGAGCATCGCCAGTCTGGTAGTTCCAAATGATGCATGACTTATCCTTGCTCGCAGAAACACAAAAGTTTGTGTCGCTGCTAACACTGGAGCTCACGGCAAGGCCGACAATGGCAGCTCTGTGGTTGGAGAGGCTCCGTTGCGGCTCGTGCTCGGCGGCAGAGTCCAGTTCAAGCAGCTGTGGCAGCGACCACACGTGGATATCCGAGTCGGCGGACCCTGTCAAAATATAGGAGGATGCGGCGGCCACGCAAGAAATTCCCTGGACGTGGCGTGCTGGGGTCGAGGCCAGCCGGCCAGTGCCTGTCTATGACAAATGAAAGTTAGCCGACCAAAACATTCTCAAGTTCCTGACTTGTCTATCCATATCTTACCTCCCAGAGCATCAGACGGCCCTCGGTGGTGCCCATGACGAGAACATCGCCGACCAGCGTCAGGCATCGTATCCTCTCCGGGAAAGCCACAAACGCCTCCTGGTTCCCCCGGAGTCTGGAGTAGACATGGACATAGGCTTTCTCATGCTGGGCGGCGAAGATGTGGGTCTCGCTGATGGCAAGGCAGTTCACTGGAACTGAACTCTTTTTGAAGGTTGACTTGACTGAGTACGTGGGGCTGAGGGTGTGGCAGTAGATGCCAACATCCTTTGCGATGGCTGTGTTGGAGGAGAGCGGTGCCCCACATATCGCCGAGACGAATTCCTCAGAGAGCATGTTGCCGTCTCGTCTTTGGCACAGATTCTCGGCTCTCGTTCTTCCCCCTCCCTTGATAACCCAACCAACCCGAATGAGTGATTCAGTAAACGGAACGCAACCAATCACATGAAAAACAACCCAGCTCTTAGTTTGCGTGTGTTTTTTTTTCAGTGACGCTAAGAGCGGTAGCCCCCCAGCTTGGATTCCGGCCGATGGAGGGAGATGGTTTCACTGCCTTGGTGTTGTGGTGAGACAGGGAAAGGGCTCTGTGCGAGTTGAGGCATGCAAGGGAACACGCTTGCTGAGGCTGAGATGGAATGTTTAAAGCTGAGTGGCTAGGGTGCTCAATAAATCGAATGGGAAATCGAGTTGTCGTGTCAGGTCGCAGCTGCTGCTTCCTGCATTCATGGAAATTTTGGTGAAAAAAAGAAGTGGCACTTTCCTTTTTCCTTCGGATTGTTGTCTATGATTGGGTTGCACAAAAGCTTTGACGTTTGAAGTGGGTCCAGTCTGTCTGGGCAGCAGTGACGAGAG